GTGCGGCAGAAAGAGGAGCGGATGAGCAGAATGTTAGTTGACCTGAATTCTCACATATACAGTCTGTCATAAACGTAATTTAAAAAAAATACAGCCATGTATGACTCTGATGATAGGTGGAATCTTACTTTATTTTTCTTTGCACTGGAGTCAGAGAAAAAAACCAAATTCCTCTGTTTAAATAACAACAGGGACTTTTTCATATTTTATGAAAATGGTAGTAAAAGGAACAATAATAAAATAAGAAAGAAACAGCAGGCACTTCACAGTTAATTTCACTGCTAGGTCTTTCAGCAGTGTAGGAACTGTGTATTTTCTAACTGAAATAAACAAATTAGAGTGTATAAATCAATTAGTTACGTACTTGCTGCATTCCAAGAACCAATTTCCAACCTGAAAGAAATTTAGATCTGTGTATACTTTCAGTCACTTGCTAACAACTTTACATGACAATGTATGTTAATATTGAATGTTAATAATTTTCTGAATTCCATTTCTGTAAGTGAGAATTTGTTTTTTTTTTCTTATCAGTTTGCATGCCACAACATGACTGTACTAGTGTTGTATTCCCTTCTGCCTGCCTGTATTGGAAAGGATGGTAAAGGTTTAGTGAATTGATGTCTGCAGTGTTTCAAACATCTGCAGTACTTCATAAATACAAATTATTTAGCTGCTGTGTCCGTCATCTTGCTGTGGTAATTTGATATTACTCTTTAAACAGCTATTTAGAAATAAATTCCTAAACTAACATGAGATGGGAAGGAATGTAACATACCTTCCTGTGTAAAATGGAAAACACACAGCAGCAGCCATGTGAATTGCATCAACATCAAATTGTTCCACTGCTAGCATTGTGTATATCACTGTAAATTATTTTACACTTCCATCTCAAATCTTTGGTAACTCTGGAACTGTTGCTGAAACTTTTCCAACTATCCAGAACCTTGTAACTTAATATGCCCAACTTGTAAAAAATGGCTGTAAAATAGAGGTTTAATAAAGAATTACATAAATAAGGAGTAGTGAAAGGTGCCTGAAACTTGATATTCTGGCTAGACAGTAGAAAAGATGCTGGAATTTAGTTTGGTAATGAGGTTGTAGACTCATTTAAGATTAGGAAAACCATTTCCCAGACACTCTAGGAAAGCAAACTCATTTAGACATTAGGAGTGTTATGGCTGCTGAAGTAAAAACATGGATGTTGGTGACTGAAAAAACAACGTTGTGTGGCTAATGATCTGAATGTTAGAGCTGTTTAACATGCGCAATATATATGAAAGGGTAGACTATTACTTTCTCATTGCCTCTACATTCGATATGCATTTGTTAACATGTTAATTAAATGGTGATATTCTTCTCCTATATCATTAGCAGATAGAAAAGCACTGAAAGTCTTTTGCCAGATCATAAAAACTGAAGCCAAAAGTTACATTTACTGTATACAGGCATTTTCCTGTGTCAGGACCTTATTTTCTACTTATCAAAAATTCAATACCGAATTCAGTCTTGTATTTGGATGCAAGCATTCAAAATAAAGAAGGGAACTGAGACATCGCTGTTGTGGTTTAAGCCCAGCCAGGAGAATCGAAAGAATGTAACTCCCATGGGTTGAGATAAGAACAGTCCAGTAACTAAGGTATAACACAAATCACTGCTGCTACCACCAGTAATAATAATGATAAGGGAAATAACAAGGGAAGAGAATACAACCGCTTTCCACCCACCAACCAATACCCACCCCGATCTGAGCAATGATCTAGGCTTTCTGGATAACTACCCCAGTTTATATACTGTGCATGACGTGCTGTGGTATGGAATACCCCTTTGGCTAGTCTGGGTCAGGTGTCCTGTCTCTGCTTCCTCCTGGCTTCCCCTCCTCCCTGGCAGAGCATGAGCCTCACAAAGTCCTTGGTAGGATTAAACATTACTGAGCAACAACTGAAAACATCGGTGTTATCAGTGTTGTACCCAGGCTGAAAGTCAAAATCACAGCACTGCACCAGCTACTAAGAAGGAGAAAAATGACTGCTACTGCTGAACCCAGGACAATCTCCTAAAAGTCTTGTGTTGACTTAACTACTACAGGGTTTTGAAAATTCAGAATTTTGAGTGTATGATTAACTCTGATGTTTTAGTATTGGTTTTCTTCCACAACTGGAAAGAAAGTCAAGTTACGTTCTGATCTACTATCTTGTTCAAATAGTGTATTTGATTTTGTTTTGCTTGCATGCTGCCCAGCACTCATAAGACTGACACTCCACCAGTTCTTAGAGGTGGAATTTCCAGTCTCCAAGATGGGAAAAAAAATCATGGAAAAGATGTCTGAAGCTGTCATAAAAACAATGAAAGCATTTCTTTTCCAGCAGAAATGATCCTATCTTCATTAACTCAGAATCTGGAAAGCTCTTTGGGCATGGTTACCTCCAGGGCTTTGGAGTTTCTGCTGCTGAACTTTATGGAAGAGTTTATGCAGATATTGATTGCCCCGGTTAGAATGTTTGTGGCCTTCAGACTTTCTACTGAGACTTTTTATGACCTAATGCTACCAACATCAAGGCAGCCTGTATGGCAAAACTGTCCTAGGCTGACATCCCAAGAGTTGTGTCAGTGGTGATGCTGATTTAGAGCTATGAACTTGAAAGAAGGTTAGGGATTCCTTTTTCTGGCTTCCTAAGGGAACTAGGAGGAAACCAGTCAAGGTGCTGATATTCCCTCCTTTTCTCTTTTTTTTTTTTTTTCCAAAAAGGTTATTTTGTTCCACTCAGAATTTCTTTCATGATGAAACTGTGAATTTTTATCTGTAGGTAAGGTTAATAAGAAAAATTTCAGATGAACTTCTTTTCTTTTAGAAATGCTCTGAAGCCCTTTTTAACACCGAAGTTCAGCAGGCATGTACATTTTTTTCTGGGTCAGCATGGAAAGAAGGCTATTGGCCATGATTCCTATGTTAATCTGCAGTTAAGAAGCTCTGGTTTTCTTATTCGTAGTTACAGTCTGTGATCTGGCCATGCCTCCCTCCCGTTGAAGAATTACAGGTGTGTTATGATTCATTTCCATTTCCCATTTGTAGGAGTTATTTGACACCTTATTTGTACGTTCCTCTTCTGTCTTTTTATGTATTAGTTTGTTACGTTCTTTGAGTTGTGAATAGGAATGACCAAAATGCTCATTCCCTAATTTCTCACAAATATAGAGAGCACAATATGATACGTGTCTGTGATAGGGCTACATTAACAGTTTGATTTTATTTCTGCAGGACTTTATTCTAAAATTAACTTTTGGATTTGAAAATGTATGATCCACAGCCAAAAAAATGTGTTTTGCATTCTGGATTAAATAATTCAAACCTGAAATCTCCTGGTTTAAATAGTATACTTATCTCTTCTCACTATCTAGAAAATCAAATCCTGGCTTTAGTCAAAATGAAAATTAATTTGCTCTTTTCACAGATTTATTACTTAATTTGATATGATTACCCAGTTTTTCTCCATGAAAGTCTTGCAGTTGGACTATTCATCTTCAGGGATAAATCTGGGCAGATTGATATCTGTTAGGAGATTTGTAAGGTATGCCAGCATCAATCCCTTCCTCACTGTTTCTGGCTCCAGAACTGATCGACTATTTTTTTATTTTTTTTTGTCAAATGTATAAGAGGCTTGAATACAGTGTTGAAATCAGTGGACCTGTACCAGCTTAACAGCAGCAAAGACCTGATATAGATGTTCACCTAGAAATGGAAGAAACATACAGTAAGATAGTGCTGCTAAATATAGTCTGAACTGAGAGGTCTAGGTCTCAATTTCAGTTTAGGCCTTGTAACAAAAGTAACAGGATACAATAGTTTTTTGTCAATCGACAAACATTTGTAGTGCTCAAGAAACACAGGAGCGAAGACCTTTTATTTTCAGTTATTTTAAGATGAATTTCTTGAAAGAGAAGCATTGCTTCTAGGCAGCAAAATCTCTCTGTAGATATATTTTATATAGGCTTGCATGTAGAAAGAGGTATGACTGTGTGAGATGTACTACAGACGTTCATATGTGTTTAAAATATTTGCAGTTTATGCACAGATAGGCATGACTTGGAAATGCTGAACTACAGAACTGAAATAACAGAATCTTCATTATAGACAGTTTTATCGCATCTCTTTACATAAAATTTTGAAAACAAGCGCTAATGTTGAAACTGGCTATTAACCAAAATGCTTGCTGTCAAATTAAGTGTTCCCATCTGTGATGATAAATGGAGGCTATATGGCTATAAGCTGTGGCTTATGAAAATAATTCTTTGACATCTGGCTTTAACATCTGGTTTTATAATTGATTCTCCAAAGCAAATGGAATATGTACTTTAAGGGTTTGTTTTTAATCAGTGTTTGGAAGTGTGTATTGCTGCATTGTGTAACTATCATAGTTACAGAAGTCTAAAAGAAAATACTTTATTCACACCAATACTTGCAGGTATAAAACTATATAAACACTAGTCCTTTGTCATTTGACAGTGGGCAGCACCAAATAACATCCAGGGAGGAGCAGGAGGGGGTGATTTGGCACCTGCTCAATGCCTACCAAAACAGTACTTAAGGGAATGCTCTTTTTGTTCTCAGGTTTAAAAAAAAAACAGCATGACATTTTTCCTCATTGTTGTTACACTTTTATTTCTATGTGTTTAAGTTGTAGACAGTAAGGAAACCTGTGTCCAAGTCACCGAGCAGGAAGAAACTCTTCCTTTTCTCTCACCTCCTCTCCCCTCCCTCCCCCTTCCCCTGACTTTCTACTGCCAGTGTCTTTAAGATTGCGAGCAGTTTTAGATTGAAAATGGTCTTAGCTCTTGGCGGCGCTTTTCAGAATAGGTTCTGCAAGTCACACACAAGCTCCTGGTGTGTTTGGTAAATTATTTATATCACTGTTGTACAGGTGAAGAGTTGTTGTACTCTTTTCTGCATTACGATAAGGCCACAAGATGATGTGTTGATCCAGATGTGTGTTTAATTGTTCCAGGCACACAGTGGGAGACTCACTGCCTTGAAGATTTTATACAGAAGGCAGAAAAAGAAAGATAAAACAAAGAACAAAGTGCTTGTTATGACCATAGGTGCACATACGTTCAATTACCATTTTCTCCAGTTCGTTATCACTGCATCTAAACAGGTTTGGAAGAATAAAACCAGATTCAATTTACACATGTTGTACATAATTTCTAAATGTATTTTCTACACAGAACAGTCCTACCTGTTTATTTGTCATTTGATTTCAGATGGAGGCTGCAAAGAAGTTGAAGGTAAGGAATGAAATTCTGAAGGTGAGTTTAGGAACAGGTTTTTATGCTTCAGGGGTGTCACAGGGAGTCAGAAATAATGCTTTCTTGACATCCTCTTCCTATCATCTTTGATTTTACGACTTACGTTATTCAAAATATCCCTGATTAAAAGAGGGGGAAAAAGGCTGAAGAAGAAGGTGAGGGCAGAGGGCTGCCTTACCAGAGTGAAATTAGTAGATTGAGTAATGTAGGAGACCCAAAAATTCTAGTGCTGCACCTGCCATAGAGAAGCAGCAGTGGGCAAGCCATGCTGCTGCTGCCTGACATAATCTGTGGCATAAACTTGGTTTTATTGAAAGGCTGCGGGAGAGTAGGTCTGTACCTATAGATCTCAGGTGTGAAGACCTGGCAAGTCATCAGTGTTGTTGTTTTCAGTCTTAACAAGTGGTAATGTTTACAACGTCATTATTGTATCTGTATGGGATCAATGAAAAGTCTACATTTATTATCAGTATGTACATCCTTTAAATAATCATTTTCCTTCTCTTAACAGACAGTGTTTTCCCAGGGTTTCAGTGACTTCATTTACACAGCTCAGGCTCAACCTATGCTATAAATTTTTCTAGTTTAAGGTATATTAACTGGAAACTGGGAAGATCGTGTCTTCCCCCGCTCCCTGTTACTAAGATCTCGTTGCCAGCAAAATGCCTTGGGTAGCTACATCTCAGAGGTGAAATAAATCCTGTTGTTACCTTTGTTTATATCTTTATGTGGCTCGTGTAGCTACTCCAGCATGTTGTCTTTCAACGAGGGAGTCTCCTGGCGTAGGTTTGTTGGCTGAGTTGTTCTGTAATGTAGATATGCCTTAACCCGTTATATTTTCCAACAATAAAAATGGACACATTTTGAGAGCATTTTAAAACTGTCATGAGTACTCACACTGACAGACATACGAATAATAGATTAGGCAGCTTCTGTCATTTTCTGTGTAATTTTCTCATCTTTGTTTATTTTATCGTATACTGAAAAGCTTAGTTTTTTAAAGATAAATTGGGTTCTTAGTAGTACTGAGATTTATCTCATAAAAGATTGCATGCTGTTAGTCATGTGGATTTATGGGGAGTAGCGCAATACTGAGGAAGATCTATAAGTCAGGATAAGGAAAGAAAAAAGGACAGGACATACATGAGGATTTCGTTTCAGTGAGGCTGGTCAGTGACTTTTTCTGATAGGTGCTTCCCCAGCTCCAGAAACCAACTCAACAGATCTGAAATGTTCTCAGGATTTCCACTAAATGTTGTGCTTCTACTCAGAATGATTTATTTCCTTTGAGTTTTCCAGTGATTATGCTCTTCTCTTGTTGACTTTTATGATTTTGGCTTCTTCAGTTCACCTAAAAGCAGGGCTGGAAAAAAGGGATGGTTTCAGAGAGTTTTACAAGGAAAGTGCTCTGTTGTGCTGCCAGCAGCTCTGAACAGTAGATGTTGTTTCCCAGCTGTATGAAATATATATATTTTATTTTACAGTACACAAAGAGAAATTTTTCTTAGCTTTGCAGACAGACCAATTAAATACAGTTCAGACTTGCTGGGTCAAGGATGGAGGTTAGGTGGTACTCTCAAAGTCTTACTGGGATTGACAAAAGCACTTCCTGAAGTTTTACTTCTACTGAGGAAAGAATACTCTTCTGAGAACCAGTTTTGGTTGATTTTCTTTACATTTATCAGGCTGATTACTTAGGATGAGCTTTTAAATAGCCCTCAAAACAAAAAAGTTGAAATATTCCATCAAACTGGCACCTTGGCTCCAGCCAGACAAAACTGGCTTTTGCAAGGTGAAAGTGCCAGAAGTATAGAATATTATACTGCCTATGAGTTACTAGTTCTTAATCTTCATTTCTCAGAGATGATTGAAGAATGCAGAAGAAGAGAGAGACCCATTGATTGTTTGTTTGTTTAAAAATCCTGTGTAAAGATGTCCTTATCCTTAATAGGCTGGTTTTCAAAGACTGTCTTTGCTGGGATTGTTACAGAACATGAACTGTTTTAAATATTTCTGCTTCTTGTTTATATTATTGGCTATTCCATGTAACAGGATTTTTCCAGTAAATTTTAGCAAGAAATTTCTGAGAGGTATCAGTATGTCATTAAATGAACAGTGCTACTTCTTAATGGATTGTTGCCTTCAAGTGTAGGAGTACAGTGCATGATGACTGAGCACTTACCTTCACTGCTGTCTATTTTAAAAGAGAGGCTAAATAAAAAGCTGAATTTTTATTGATAATGTGATTACAAATTTCAAATTTACAGTCTTACAGACTTTGAAATTCTAACTTTAATAATAAGTATATGTCGTAGCAAGAATTACATTTAGGTTGAATGTCAAGATATTCAATTTTCATCCCCTCATCTCCAGTTTTCAGTCATACTATCTGTTCTCTGGTTAATTTAAACTCTCTCTTCATAGCCTGTTCTTTAAACCAAAGTATACCTGACTTTAAATTTCAGAGAGTCTTATTTGGTTACAGTTCCTGTAATATACAGCCAATGCAAAAAGAAATATAAATTATTTTGGTAATAATCTGGCCTTCCTACCTCCCTATTTAGTCCAGTAGACCATATGTGCAATTCCCTTTTAAGTCAATCCAAGAATATTTCAGAAAAAGAGAAAAGGAGGTCATAAAGCATCATAAGACCTTGACTTCGAAATTATTTTCAAATTAGATCAGTTCAAAACATGATGATAACCATGATAGGTTTCACCTGCCTACAGTGGACACTAGAATAGAAGAACAAAAGTCTGAAGATTTTTTTGGTATATTTTAAGACCAAAAAGCCCTCACTTAGACTGTGTGCACAGTTGGTGAGGTTTTAGGTTGACAGCTACATTCTATTATTTATTGCTTTCATTAAATATTGAAAGTTTATTTTTACTATAATAGTGAATTATTTGTTTAACTTTCAATCTTCCTTTTAGAGTAATATGCAGGAAAACCCACTGCAGTTCTCTGCAACTAGGCAGTGATCCTACATCTCTTAAATCCTAATTTTGCACTTCAGTTGTGAAGCTATCTAAGCTATGGCTGTTTTCTTCTTTTATTTTAATATTTTACATGCCCATTTTACCCAAAGGAAAGAAATGGTATTATGATAGGTATGCAAGCCCTTAGAGAGATATTTTCTATACATATGCTGAAATGATAAGTATAAATCATTTTTGCTATATAATAAAACCCCAGTGATAGGTGATTTTATATATCAAATGCACTGTACAGTCATGTGTAAGGTATTTATTGTTATCTGATAGAATTAAGAGTTATAAAGGGAATATGTAGGATAAGTGTCAGAGAACAATAGCAAGGGATTGACATGGTGGGAGAAGAGACGTAGGTGAAGTCTGCAAGCAGTGTGGTCAGCCAGAATGAGTTGAATAAATAACTTCAAAATGGCTTTTCCACAGATAGAAGATAAGGAATCCATGGGTTCATTTCATATCTGTCTTCTCTGTGCAGTCGCAAATAACTGGTTCCTGAATTGCTAGGTAAGATGTGTAGAATCTCAGTACTTAAACAATTTTCACTGAACTATCATGTCAGAAAAAGATAGAAATGTTTTTAAAAGACTCTTCTAAGTACATGCAATATAATTTTAAGTGGCTTAAGTAACAGTGCTATTATTTCCTACGAGTTCACCTGTTATTTGGGTATACATCAACCCATTGGCCCTTAAGTGAATTCAAATTCTAATGTTTTACATTTTGATTTAAGAAAAAGAATATAGAATCATAGAATCGTTAGGGTTGGAAAGGACCTTAAGATCATCTAGTTCCAACCCCCCGCCGTGGGCAGGGACACCTCACACTAAACCATGTCACCCAAGGCTCTGTCCAACCTGGTCTTGAACACTGCCAGATATGGAGCATTCACAACCTCCCTGGGCAGCCCATTCCAGTGCCTCACCACCCTCACAGGAAAGAATTTCCTTCTTATATCTAACCTAAACTTCCCCTGTTTAAGTTTTAACCCATTACCCCTTGTCCTGTCACTACAGTCCCTAATGAAGAGTCACTCTCCAGCATCCCTATAGGCCCCCTTCAGATACTGGAAGGCTGCAATATGTTCTTTTCTGATGTGGAAGTCTTACAGAATATACAAATTTCAACCATGGCAGAGAATTCCCAAGCTTTGAGAATGTTTCTCATTGAACTGTAAAAATTTTACAGTTGGGTCCAGCTCCTTCTCTGTGTTTGCAAAGCACCTAATAGAGCAGAGCTCTGATTCTCATTAAGAACTTTGAGCATTGCCATAGTGAGAATAAATAATAAAAAAACCCTTCCATTGACACAATACTATTTTTATTTCCAGTTTTATTCTATGTATTATGTTATTCTTTTATATTATCTGTATCCTATTGAAACACGACTGGCTTTTTGCTGTCTTTGTGCACAGCACACAGAGGGAAGAAGTTTTTCAGGAACTGGCTGTTGCTTCCTTCAAGACAATTAAAGCCTTGAAAATAACAGGAGTTAAAATAGCTGTTAGAGGATACACCTCCGTAACACAGTTGTAACATCTATGGCTATGTCTGTAATGCTCTCTTGCTGTAAACATTATGGTTGCTTCCCAGCAGACTTTCCCTTCCAGTTCCTAAAAGGGTCCTACAGGAAGCTGGTAAAGGGTTTTTTACCAGGGCATGTAAGAATAAGACAAGGAGGAATGGGGTTAAACTGAAAGAGGGTAGATTTAGATTAGATGTAAGGAAGAAACTCTTTATTGTGAGGGTAGTGAGGCACTGGTGCAGGCAGCCCAGAGAAGCTGTGGCTGCCCCATC